TTTTGCTTAATTTAATTTTTAACTTAATAACTTAATACTTTTTGCCCTTTAAGCTGCTGGTAACCTTAATTTCTTGAGGGAGTCTTCCCAAGGGATCAATAAAGTACTGTCTAAGTCTAAGTCTACCATAATGCTGAACAGGACAAGGTAAAAAAAAGAAAAAAGAAAAAGAGATCGGAGGTCTGATGTTGTTTTACAGAGAAAAAACTCAAAGGTACTGCTCCGTGAAATAAACCTCCAGTAAACCGTTTTTTCTTCTGTTGGCAGGTGTCAAAGTGACGTCTTCTGTCCAAGTGCCCAAACTACTGAAGCAGGCCGGGGAGCGGGTGGTGATCCTCTACGAGAGGCCCGTTCGGAACCAGGCCCCCCCCCCTGGGGCCTCTACAGGAGGGGTTCGGGCCAATGGAGGAAACGGGTTTCATCCCCCAACCGGGCGGCTACGAAGAAGACCCGGCCCCCATCACCACCCTCTCCGACATGTCCGACAACAAGGACCTGGACTCGGAGTTCGAGGAGCTGGTCGTGGACGCCAAATCCGCGCAGAACAGCGCCAACATAAACACTAATGAGCCCAAGGAGGACTTTTTCCTCGCCGTGAACCAAAGCCCTAAAAGAACTGTCGCCAACCTGGCCTCCAAACCTCTGGGGTCCATCTCCCCCATCCTCAACCGCAAGTTCAACCTGTCGGGGTTGCAGTCGCCGCTAAAGACGCAGCCCAAAGAGACCCCGAAACCCTCGCCGATGAAGACCGGGGAAGACCTGCAGCGGCCCAGTGTGCCCCCCCCTCCGCCCCCCCCATCCCGGCCCCCCGTGCCCCCGAGGCCCCAAATCCGTCTGACGTCGGCGTCCTCGGAAACCAGCCTCCTGGAAAGCGCCGACCCCCCCGTTCCCGTTCCGACGCCGGCCGAAAAGTCTCCCGAAAAGCTCCCGGTCAACGCGGTCGCCGAGGAGAAAGCGGCCCCAAAACCCACGGAGGCCAAACCGGACGCCAAGTTGGACGCCAAGCTCGACGAGGCCCCGGAGGGCGCGGGCGGCGCTGGGCGGGATTCCCTGGACGAGCGCACCGTCTCCTGGGAGTCCCCGGAGACGGCGTTCCGGGCCAAAAGCGGGCGCTGGCCGCGGAACACGGCGGCGGCGGTTCTGGAGGTGGAGGCGCCGCACCGATTCCTCAACGCCGCGCTGTGGTGCAAGGACCCCTTCAGGCCCGGCGCGCTGCTGTGCCTGGGCCACGCCAGCCTGCGCCTGGAGCACCTGGCCCTGGAGTGCATGGCCACCTCCTCCGCCGAGTACCAGGGCACCTTCCGGCTGCGCCCGCCCGAGCCGCGCGCTAGCGTTAGCCGCACGGCGCTGCGCGGGCTCAGCTCGCACAAGGGCTTCAACGAGAAACTGTGCTACGGCGATTTGACGCTGCATTTCTGCTACCCGGCCGAGCCCGGGGAGCCCGACAACTGGCCGGGGCCTTTCGGGCGCGAGCGTGCGGGCAGCCTGATGGACGACGAGGAGCGGGAGAGGGAGAGGGAGTCGGCGCCGTCCGCCGTCGCCGCGGCGACGCGCGACGAGCTAGCGTACGGCGCGCTGCACCTGAGCGAGGTGCGCCACAACTTCCAGGACACGCAGTTCCAGAACCCCACCTGGTGCGAGTACTGCAAGAAGAAGGTGTGGACCAAGGCGGCGTCCCAGTGCATGGTGTGCAGCTACGTGTGCCACAAGAAGTGCCAGGACAAGTGCCTCGCCGAGAGCCCGCTCTGCGCGCTCGCCGCCGCCGCCGCCGCCGAGCGCCGCGGCGCCGACCCCGAGGCCAACAAGTCGGCCGTCAACCGCGCCACGGGCCTCACGCGCCACATCATCAACACCAGCTCCCGCCTGCTCAACCTGCGCCAGGCGCAGCGCGCGCGGCTGGCCGAGCAGGTGCAGGAAGTGGGCGGGGCCGGCGCCGCGGGGGCGGAGCCATCGCCGAAACACACGCCCAACACATCGGACAACGAGAGCAGCGACACGGAGACCTACGCCGCCGGCGCTAGCCCCTCCAAGGCGGCGACGACGGCGGCGGCGGCTAGCGGAAAGCTAATGCGCAAAGATGGCGGTCTGGACGACAGCGTGTTCATCGCGGTGAAGGAGATCGGGCGCGATCTCTACCGCGGGCTGCCCACCGACGAGCGCTCGCAGAAGCTGGAGCTGATGCTGGACAAGCTGCAGCAGGAGATCGACCAGGAGCTGGAGCACAACAACGCGCTGCTGGCCGAGGAGCGGCAGGCGGGCGACGGGCGCCGCCGCGCGCTGACCGCCGCCGCCCTCGCCAAGTCCGGCGAGCGCCTCCAGGCGCTCACCCTGCTCACCATCCACTACCGGGCGGGCATCGAGGACCTGGAGTCCGTGGAGAGCACGTCCCCGTCGGAGCCGAAGGGGAAGGAGGGGCTAGAGGAGGAGGGGGTGGGGGGGGGGACGCTGGGGGCGGAGCCATACGACGGGGACCTGTGCAGCCCCGGGGGGGAGGGGCTGGATGACATCACCGAGGAGCAGATCTGCGTGGAGGCGCTGCACTAGGCGGAGCAAAGCCACGCCCACTCCTGGACACGCCCACCCAGAGCCACGCCCACCCAGACTCTCCACTCTCCACGCCCGCCTAGTGTCAGAACCAAGCTTTTTTTTACCTGAAAATGAGGATGTCCCGGTCCTTCTCCGCGTTTAGATTTGCACACTCGTCAACTTTAGGTCGTTAAAGGGAAACTCGACCCCGCCCCTCATCAGAGCTGCCTGTTTGTCCCCCCCCCCCCTTTGGTTTAAGTCCGCACAGCCCGCTCAGAACCAGTCCAGAACATTTTGACCCGCACTCTGAGCAACACGACCCGAGTTTAGGAGATTTTAGGACAAACCCACACCCCACACACACGACCCGTTTCAAGCACTTTACTGCACTAGGTGTGGGTTCCAGAACCCTAACCCTAACCCACCTGCCCTATGACCCCCGTGTCGTGTGGTCAGAACGG